CCAGTTGACACCTTCGCACTCTATTTATAATAATTTTTAAAATTGTACTTCCCTCTTCGCCTAAGTTTTCTAAGACTTAATTAATTAAATTCTCTTACTGGGGTGGGGGTGCAGTCCAACTGGGTCCACTTGGCACGGCGGCCGCTGATTGGCCTATTGTAGCCTGCCTCAGGTGATTATGATGATGAAGAATTTGGTGGAATGTAGATTGGCAAGGGAAACCGAAGTATTCAGAGAAAACACGCCCCAGCGCCACTTTGTCCGCCACAATTTCCACTTGACCAGACACGAGATCGAACCTGGGCCGCCGCGGTGGGAATCCAGCGACTAACCGCTTGAGCTATGGCGCGGCCCTAAGACCTGGCTGATACTCCGGCAGTGACAGGTGCTTTTTCCATTTGTTTTTGAAAACCACATTCAAAATTAGTATTATTTCCTTCCACATCACTTGTAATACGTGACTATGATGCTGTACAACCTCAGGAGGTAATATGATACAACGCTAGGAGTGATAGAAACGTGTGTTGAAAAATATTTTGTGGTCGCCCTATAACACTGAGTCCATTAAAGCGAGAGGCGCGTTGATACAGTGAAGTCTGACGGTGACGGGTCACGTACGATATCGCAACTGCCTTTCTTAATCACGCTAAGCCCCGAGAAATTCCGTTAGAATACAACCATCCTTACAGTCGGTACCCACTGAATAAACAATCACTTCTGCTTCAGGAAATTAAGGTGACCTACCCGTTTTTAACTGTAGGACTAAAGTTGAGACTGAGTCTTTTGGTATTGTGGCGTCAAATGGGCATACTACACCAGCCCCTTGATGAGAGATTTATAAAATGAATTTTTGGAATAATAACTAATGGGGTGGAGCATAAGTGTTCAGAGAAAAAATTATCACTTTGTCCGGTGCGAGTTTTATATGGACTAACCTGGGAATGAACTCGACACTCCGCGTTAAGAGGTCAGCGACTAATAGCCAGACTAAGGGTCGCGCCATAGCTCAAGCGGTTAGTTGCTGGCTTCCCACCGCGGCAGCCCGGGTTCGATCTCGGGGTCTGGTCAAGTGGGATTTGTGGTGGACAAAGTGGCACTGGGGCAGGTTTTCTCCTAGTACTTCGATTTCCCTTGCCAATCTTCATTCCACCAATTGCTCCACAGTCACCCTCACATATCATATGGGGCTGGTGCAATAGCCCAGAAGTGGCCGCAGTACAAAGGACTTAGTCCCACCCCACTAACATTAAAAAAAATCTTCAAACTATAGGTTGCCTATTATCTTGACAGTAAGTATTTATGTATATTTTCCGTGATCACTGCTAGTATCCTTAAAGGCATTCCATTTACAGGAATAACGTTATGCAGGGACCAACCTCCTTATGCGTGTGTTAGGAACGAGAATTTATGGGCCAATCCTTTTTATGGACGAGGGAAATAAAAAGGCGAATGACACGGAAACAGGAGTTAGGCTGAAACTAAAGTAAACTGAACGCAGTTTATGTAATTGTAGGTCCGGAGTCTTACTCAGACTGCAGAGATGGTGAGATGGTGTCTCTTCCGTACGTCTCCGTATGAATGCCGATATTTTTCGGAAAATAGACGACGACGAAGGCAGATTTTTTTTTCTAAACTTTTCATGTTCACTTTCGATGATGCATGACTGTGTTTCCGGTATGCGATAATTAAGTGAAATTAATGTGGATTTATATTGGAAGGGCTAAGGAAGAAGCTATGCTACAGGGCATGATTGATAGACTAATTGAAATTGGAAGGTGCTATGGCATGGAAATGAATGTGGAGAAAACAAAAGTAATGAAAATTTCGAGACAACCAACCCCAGTCACAATAAAGATAGACCAAAAACAACTGGAGAATGTGAAATGTTTTAAATATTTGGGTAGCTTGTTAACAGATGATGGAAGGTGTACTTGTGAAATTAAATCCAGGATTGCCATGGCAAAAGCTGCATTTAGCAAGAAGAAGAATCTTTTTACCAGCAAATTGGACTTAAATTTGAGGAAGAAACTAGTGAAATGCTACATTTGGAGCATAGCTCTGTATGGGGCTGAAACATGGACACTTAGGGCAGTAGATCAGAAACATCTGGAAAGTTTCGAAATGTGGTGTTGGAGAAGGATGGAGAAGATCAGTTGGACCGATTATGTGAGAAATGAAGAAGTGTTAATTAGAGTCAGTGAGCAGAAGAATATCCTACATGAAATAAGAAAACGGAAGGCTAATTGGATTGGTCATGTTTTACGCAGAAACTGCCTTCTAAAAGAAGCTATCGAAGGAAAGATAGATGGGCGGATAGAAGTGACAAGAAGACGAGGAAGAAGACGTAAGAAGATGCTGGATGACCTTGGGGACAGAAGAGGATACTGTCATTTGAAGGAGAAAGCTCTAGATCGCATTAAGTGGAGGAATTGTTTTGAAAGAGACTGTGGACCTGTCGTCTTGACAGATTACTGATGATGATGATGATATTGGAAGGTTATATAGAGCATGGAAGTTGAAGTCCTGGGAAAGTACAGGAATTTTGTTACATACAGGTTGCAGACACAAAGAATTTTCACACATGAACAACTTAGTTCTGGACGAAACTTCAGACTGAGGAAGCGTACATGATGGGTTTGAATATCTGTAGCCTGTTTTTCTTTCTGAGGGAATGAGAGTAGACTTATGAGACAAGTAAGCAGTACGCACGCGTGATTGCGCGTGTGTCTGTGTGTGTGTGTTCTGTCTGTCGGTCTCACCATTTTGAAATATTTGATCGATTTTAACAAAATTTGGTGTAGGCATTTGCGTATGTCTGTTTTGTATCTGTCGGTCTCACATTTTGAAATAATTGACCGATTTAAACAAAATTTGGTATATGCATTGGCCAATTGTGGATATCATTATAACCGGTATTAATGTGTCTGTATAAAACCCACAAATTACAGGAGCAAAAAGGGAACCACGTTCAGTACCAGAAAATCTGTGATCTTTTATTTGTTGTTAATGCAATATTAAGTTGTACTGCGATGTGAATGTTCTGATAGAGTATCACTGCTATAAGTATCATATAAATAGAGTGATACTTACGATCTATAAGGAAAAAAATATTTTAAAAATTGACACTTTAGAGTTAATAAAACTAATGTGCTCGGTAGTATAAGATCATAAGTATAAGATCATTTTTGGATCATCATCATCAGTAATCTGTCAAGACGACAGGTCCACAGTCTCTTCCAAAACAATTCCTCCGTTTAATGCGATCTAGAGCTTTCTCCTTCAAATAACAGTATCCTCTTCTGCCCCCAAGGTCATCCAGCATCTTCTCACGTCTTCTTCCTCGTCTTCTTGTCACTTCTATCCGCCCATCTATCTTTCCTTCGATAGCTTCTTTTAGAAGGCAGTTTCTGCGTAAAACATGACCAATCCAATTAGCCTTCCGTTTTCTTATTTCATGTAGGATATTCTTCTGCTCACTGACTCTAATTAACACTTCTTCATTTCTCACATAATCGGTTCAACTGATCTTCTCCATCCTTCTCCAACACCACATTTCTAAACTTTCCAGATGTTTCTGATCTACTGCCCTAAGTGTCCATGTTTCAGCCACATACAGAGTTATGCTCCAAAATTTTGGATACCATATAAAAATTTCTAGTTCATTTAAAGTCTAAATTCATTTATGCAATTGTAGATCGATTACCTGTACCTTGGTATATCATCCAATAAAGTTTTAACAATTATTACAACGTGCGTTTGTAATTATGAAATTGAATATGACATTTAAAAATGTACTATTTTATTTCTCTCACCTTCATTCTTGTGATTTAAAAGTGTCTTTCACTAGTAATGATTATACTTTCGTAATGTATATTTCCATATAATTGAGGAATCAAGTGGTATAAAAATGTCAGTTAGCAGGTTTACAAATTGGATACTACTTAAATATACCTCACGTATTCTTGTTCCCTACTACCGAAAATTGTAGACCAGCAAACTCAGTGAAAGCGAGAGGCGTTTCTTTCAAGCACATGAAGAAAAATTAAAATATGCATATCCGGACCTAGTGAAGAGAATGAAAAAGTTAAAAATTATTGAAATGGGGTATAACGTAATTTGGGGTAGTGATGTTTAAGCAGCGCCTGTCACGGTAGCCGAGCGGTCTAAGGCATGTACTGTCTTCGCTAGCTTGGAAACCGGGCTCGTGGGTTCGAGTCCCACTTAGGGCATGGATGTTTAGTTTGTGTGTGTGCGTCTTTCTGTGTTTGTGTACAGGTAGAGGCCTTGCGACGAGCTGATCACCCGCCCATTGAGTCCTACCGAATATGTAAGATCTAGAAAAACCGAAGTGAACAGAGAAGTTTATGGATGTAGGCCTAGGCCCACTGGGACTGTAGTGCCAAGGAAAAAAATGTTTAAGCATGCTGCTACATCCAACAAAATACAATACATCTGCAGTGCTAACATTAGTTGGTTGTAATTGTAGATCAAAATTGTCCTAATTAGAGTTTATTCTGGGAAACTAAATGAAATACTCATTTTTTTCAGTGAAATATTTAATTATTTGGACTAATTATGTTTATGCTAACGGCTCACTTACCTATAGAATATTAGATGTGCATTTGTTGTTTATAGATCATTATTCCAAACTGAGACATTACCCAGTGTCGGGAAATATGTTCAAATAAGTAAGATTTGAGGTTTTCACGGAGGTGACTATGAAGAATGCCGTCTTCTGGGATGTGGCGTCTTGTAAATCTTGTGTGAACCGATATTTCGGAGGAACTCCTCAATCTTCAGTGTAGAAGAATTCTCGAGCTAGGAACCCGTGTGAGCAGGTGGCTGCAGTCTGCGATATATTCCTCCGAAACGTCGGTTTACACAAGATCTACACAGCGCCACATCCCAGATTATGGTATTCTTCATATGCAAATAAATTGACCAAAATGAAACAGTTATTGAACACGTACGATGAAATTCTTTCTTCCAGAAACAAATAATCAAGTGATGCCAGTACTGCGACGGTCAGCATTTGTTCCCTCAGCCCACAGCTCTCTCAGTTTCAGGGCGTGCATCAAGTGGCCTACTGCAGTTCTGTCACGACTCTCACGGTACATAGTGCAATAACGCCACATGCAATCTCTAGTTTCAGTGAATATCGCAGAAACCCCAAAATCTACTCATAAGCATAGTGAGAACATAGGCCCCTTCATTTAAACACAGAGCTCCAATATTATGTCTCGAAAGGGTATACTGTTTTTCCCTACTTTTCATTTATCTGCTGTTTCTGTTAGTGGAATGGTGTCCCTGTGTTAACCGATTTCTCGATTATGCTGTGTTCTCAGCCTCATTCAGGCCACATAAGCAAGGCTGAGCGTCGCCGTCTCAATTGTCGTCGCTGTCATCATCATCATCATCATCATTGTCATATCCATCGTCATCATCATCATCATCATCATCATCTCCGTCGTCATCATCACCATTATCATCATCGCCATGGTCATCTCCATCATCATCATCATCATCATCGCCATGGTCATCTCCATCATCATCATTATCATCATCGCCATGGTCATCTCCATCGTCATCATCATCATAATCATCATCGTCATGGTCATCTCCATCGTCGTCGTCTTCGTCATCATCAGCATCATTATCATCATCATCGCTGTGGTCATCTTCATCGTCATCATCGTCATCGTCGTCGTCGTCTTCGTCATCATCGACGTCATCATCATCACCATGGTCATCTCCATCGTCATCATCATCATAATCATCGCCATGGTCATATCCATCGTCATCATCATCATTGTCGTCGTTGTCTTCGTCATCATCATCATCATCGTCGTCGTCGTCGTCGTCGTCTTCGTCGTCATCGACGTCATCATCATTATCATCATCGCCATGGTCATCTCCATCGTCACCATCATCATCCTGTCATTCCGTCGTATGTTCATCAGTTCCGGTCTCAGGTCCAAGTTAGTCTGCTTAACGTCAGTGCCCCCTGTTCCTACGTCTGTATTTCAGTCAGTTTGGAGAGTCTGCCCCTACGCACTCTGTCAAATAGCAAACCAATTGATTCTTGTACTCCAGAATGTTGGTCGGCTTGGATGCAGTCGTTCGTTCATTCGTCCAAAATGTCGCGGTTCCATTTGAATTATTTCTCCATACACTTTACCTTTTGATGGCTGTCTTTTGAATTTCATCTCCGTAATTGTGATTATGGATTTGTCTTTAATCTTCAATGCCAAGAACACGTACTTATTAGTTACTTCGCAACTGCATGGAATCCTATGTTGAGCTATGGCCTCGATGGTAACGTGACTATGATGAAAGCCACAAAAGACAGTCGTCGTCCATTTTATTAAGCTTTCCCCCTATTTTCCACGGTAAACTTTGTTTTTTTTTTAGATCCAGATTCGATTTCGAGACTTCTCGAATACAAAATGGAAGCACTATTATTTTTTTTATTGCTAGTGGGGTGGGACTAAGTCCCTTATACTGCGGCCAATTCTGACCTATTGTACTAGCACCAGATGATAGGTGAGGGTGATTGTGAAGCAGTTGGTGGAATGAAGATTGGCAGGGGAAACCGAAGTACTCGGAGAAAATCTGCCCCAGCGCCACTTTGTTCACCACAAATCCCACTTGACCAGATCCGGGATCGAACCCGGCCGCCGCGGTGGAAAGTGAGCTACTAAAGGCTTGAGCTATGACTCGGCCAATGGAAGCACTAACTACTAGACCGTGAGATGCAATTGACCAAATTTTACCACAGAGGACACTTATGTAAAATGGAGACCATTGTATAGAATCATGTAAATTTTTCTGATCCAATCCGTTGACTTGGATTGTAATGATATTCCACTTTCCATTTGTGTTCATGAAACTGGAGAAAGGCTCTAAACCCGGTGCTCTTCATAAACAGGTATAAGAATGAAAAAAACTGTTTCATTGCTGTGCTGTGAGAACACTCGCCAACGATTTGAAGCTGTTTTAACAACATGTATTAAAACTGACGTTTAAAAACCTACTTAATGATACTGGCATTCCTTTCGAGGAAGAAAATGAAAGTAGCTTCTAGGAACGGGTAATGAAATTACAGCGATTTTATGAACTTCTAAAATATTCAGTAGCGCTAATTGTGAAATACCTTCGAAACGTATTAAATTCGTCTTAAAATTTTAGGTTAAATCGAATTGAGTTGACACGTTTTTAATTTTAGTTTTATTGGCGAGACTGACTTTAATGTCAAACTCATTATGTTTTACGTGTGGAAAAGGTGTCTTCAGATAAAAACGAGAAGATTGTCATTTAAAACACTCTTAACATCCATTGTCATAGTTATTATAACGTGCTACAAAATACCTTAGTTAAGGCACATTTTGCAGCAGTTCCAGATGTATGTTAATTTGTTATTTTTTGTAATAAAATTTACTACAGAAAAATATTTAGAGTATTAAAATTTTATTGACAAAAAAAGTAACAGCTTTTTGCTTCAAAAGTCTAATATACAATAGGATATATAGAACACAAGCTAATCGAGAGGAAAATATGTCACGAAATGAAGCGTTTCCTCAGAGTTACTTCTGTAAATGCAAGTCATTCAGTTTCAGGTAGTTTCTTATGTGCAGAGTCATCCTCAGCACGGAATTGGTCATGTTTCAGAGGTAATCGAAAATCAAAGACTATTTCAATTAATAAGGAAGGGTTCCCATAATAGCTTAATTAGATAACAGTACAACAAGTACCGTACTTGAAAAGAGAAAAAAACTGTTAATGACATTTAACCATTAGATTCTTTCACGCTTACGGCTTGCTCTTATCTCTTTATACACTTAATCTCTCACTCTAAGAGAAGAACATAGATTAAGAGTGTGATAAAACAAAGTGCTCAGGAGAACGTTTGAACATAAAGAAGCAATCAGAGAATGGAGAAAATGACATAATGACGATCTCCATAATCTGCACTTCTTTCGTAACATTGTTATGGAGATTAAGTAAAGGAGAATGAGACGGGTAGACCTAAGTACGTACTAGGAAATGAAATGCGTGCGGCATGTCTGTTGGACGACCACAAGGGATAAGCGGGAATAAGTGTGGGAACAATGTGAATGTTGAGATTGGATTCAACTTGCATTGGTTGGTGTAATAGCGAATATTCCTAAATAAGGCAAGAAACTTCAAGTTCTATAAAAAAAGTGGATTAAGTGTTAAACAAAATAAGTCGAATATATCGTAATATAAAATTTTGCAGTTTCGTTTTCTTGGGGCTGATATTTGTATCTAAGTGATTAGATTTATTTACTTGAATGAAAAGTAAGTGGTTTAAACTCGTGAATATTGAAGAGATACTCAGTTCAATCGTATGAGTATTTATTAATCACAATGTCATTATCACTTCTGGTCATTGAATTATTTAGTTCAGTTTTGATCCGAGACCTGTGCAGACAGTAACAAGAGGCAAACTACCAAATGGAAATAGGAAAGAAAATCCCAAACTCGGAAAAATGACAGAATACTGACATAGCACACTCTCATATATTGAAACGAAAGCTACACAATTTACAATGACAAATATAGTATTGAGATGAACATCAAATCNACCTGCCATTAAATCCAATAACAACTTATATTTTAATTTTATTTTTAAACTACAAGGCAGTATCTCTATTAATCGAAAGTGACAATTCCAAAAAAAATGAGTCATCTTTGGAGAAGTACATGAGAAGAAAACCTGGAGAAGACTACACAGTAGTCGAAGCGTTTGTTATTAACTAATTAATTCGATATCCGTGATGGTAGGTGCTTTGTTGGCTCATTAACAAATGATAACAGAACTTGGCAATGTCACGACGGACAAATAGCGCCAATGGAAGCAAACAAGGCAGGACGTTGTAATGCAGATTTATGAGAAGGAAAAGTAAATTTAAGATCTTTCAAGTAATACAACGGTCCTGTTTTATAATATCTGTAACAGGTCTCAATAAGCCCAAACGAAAATAATATATGTACGTGTATATACACGTATTCGGGGCACACAGTAGCGTAGTTGTTGAGACACTATGCTACCAGCCGGGAGATCGCGGGAACGAATCCCGATGAGGTGGATTTTTTTTTCAATTTACCGAATCCTTACAGCCGCACTATGGCCTGGGGTCGACCCAGCCTCTAACAGAAGTGAGTACCAGGAATATTCTTGAGGGTAAAGGGCGGCCGGGGTGTAAGGCTGACAACCTTACCCTCATCTGTGAGCAGATTGTCTAGAAAATGCGAGAACCTCAATATCTCACAACCCTATAGGCCTCTACGGCCTGCTACAGGGTTCGCTTTACTTTACGTTTTACTTTACATTTATAAATTCTGACCACAGACGCTGATGACAGGAATATTAGGAAAATTTTTGTTTTGTTTTTGTTTTTTGGATGCTCATGCCCTCAAGTACCATCTCAAAGAATGTTCAGGTTTCGATTGATAGCTCAGTCAGTATAACGACGGGGTACGGGTTTGATGGCCAGGGGCTCTTTCCCCCGTCAGTGCTTGAAGCTGACCGTTCACTTCCGTCTATGACAGAGATCAACAATGATGGAGCTATGCCTCCACTCCTCCATAAGTCTTCTTGGCATATTGCTTATTTAATTAAACATAGGAACAATTTTAACTTAGCTATATATCGAATATGATTCCTAAAACTTTGTAGACTCTTTAATTTGTGCACAACATGATTCCTGATTTTAGTTGCAGAATTGAATTCGGAAAATATTCGGAATCAATCCGTTATTGTTCTAGATTATAAATTTATATAACCCGAATGAAGTAGTTAATAAATATCCTAGCCAATATAAACTCGCGAGAATTTAATGTCTGTCTGCAACGTAACTTAACATAACTGAACATATATACTTTTCATTTATTATAAACGGCCTTGAAGCTATTTCTGCAGGTTTCAGTGTTGTAAGGCAATAATAGCTGCACTCTTTAATTTTCTTAGCGAGCTTTCAAAGTCATGAAATTGGCCACCAAAGATGAGAACACAATAGCAGTTTGGATAGATTATCTATCAACTGGTTAGTAAAAAAATGTATTCGTGACCTGTCTTGAAAAGATACGTAAGTGCGTTTATTTCTTGGTGTGTTGTTATTGATGGCCTATATTCTCCTTCCCTTGAGAATAAAGCTACAAAAGCTGGCAGATATGCTTCTAACAAATGACTGCATTACAAACAAGGAAGTGTCTTGGGGATAAACGAAAGTTCACATGGCTAATTGAAACATTCCTCATCAGTAGCTGTTGAACGAAGTACATTTCAGAAGCTTTTTCTCTGTTCACACAATGGAAAGAACACATCTATGTATCATACCTTCATTCTGATGTCATTGTCTCACACATAAAATTTAAGATACATGAGATTTGAGTTTCCGACCTGCATATAAATACAATATTGATTTTCCTGATTAATGTGGGATGGCTCCAAGTTATACCTGTCGCTTGTATCTGCTGGTTTCTTGCTTGACTTCCTATTCCAATCTGAAAATGGAGGCGACATAGTCCTCCGAAACTCCCGAATTATACAGCGTTATAACACAGATGAACGAAAGATAGAGGGGCGGATAGAAGTGACCAGAAGACGAGGAAGAAGACGTAAGAAGATGCTGGATGACCTTGGGGACAGAAGAGGATATTTTCATTTGGAGGAGAACGCTCTACATCGCATCAAGTGGAGGAATTGTTTTGGAAGAGACTGTGGACCTCTCGTCTTGACAGATTACTGATGAATGAATAATACAGAAGACTGTACTGTTTACAGTTAAGAATCTAAATCCAAAATAATTTATCTGCAAACTAAAATAGCTGCATGTACTTTTACATTTGACAATGTAAATATAGATAAAGGTCGCCCCATAACTCAAGTGGTTAGTCGCTGGCTTCCCACCGCGGCGGCCTGGGTTTGAGCCCGTGTCTGGTCAAGAGGGATTTGTGGTGTACAAAGTGGAGCTGGGGTAGATTTTCTCCGAGAATTTCGGTTTCCCCTGCCAATTTTTTTCCACCAAATTCTCCATCATCATAATCACTCGAGGTAGGTACAATAGACCAATCAGTGGCCGACCTGCCGAGTGGACTAAGCTGGACTCCACCCCCCCCCACTATGCGAATTAAAAAAAAATATAGATATTGTAGTGTAATACAATAATAAAAAATACATGTTCGTAGCATTTGAGTAAAAGCAGAAACAGAATTCTGGTCTTAAAACAGAATTATGTGTTCCTGCCTATCTTTCTTCAAGTGTCATTAGGAAAAAATTGGGCAGGACCTGTAGCGCCCATGCGGTGGACTATAAATGAATATGAAAATTTTTCGTGAAAATCTGAAGGGAACAGAGTTAGATTGGAAGCTTCTGTGTAGATGGTGGATAATACTGAGACTGATGTTACAGAATTGAGGTGTGTCTCTGATCACTTTCTTCAAGATAAAGTCCAGAGGTTGAATTTTTGAACGTGGATATACATCTTCAGGGCTAAAAAAGCAGGTAATTTATTGGTCTGCTGAGGGGTTATCGGCTTCACAAGCAGAACTGTGCTTCCTGGCGACAGAATTATGTTCCTGTGATTCAAAATGTGTGGCATTCGAATATGTCTAATAGATAATCTATTTAACTATAAGCCCATTAGTTCAAGAAAGTCGTGCAATAGAACCTGTGTTTGTACCTCGTGGTACACCCATTTAACTGAAGAAAATATATGAAGTTCCAAAATTTTTACTTCACACATACACACTTTAAAATAAAATGCAAGTATATTGTTTTTGTTATGTACTATTGCTTCAAGTTTAACAGAATCGGCGTAATTTCAGATAGGCCATCGTGGTCCACTGATAGTTATAAATGTGATTTCTTCTCTTGGGCACACCAGGGAATTATTTTAAAAAATTGATATGCACCTCCTAACTGAAGATTATAAAATTAATTCAGTAAATAAGCTTAAGAATGCGGAAATAGTTGCCTTCCCTTCCCTCGGAATACAGAAATATAAGAAATATATTACACGATTTTATGAGGTATTATTTAATAAGTACTGTGGGCCTATCGAATTACTATTGATATATCATAGCTTACGCTGACTAATACCTATCTGTGAACTACATATATTTACCATAAATATTTTATGACAGAATTTGTTATGATAACGATGCATATGTAGAAGGGTTCTGTGTCTCACATTATATGGCCTATTAAAAGACAAACACGTTACAACAAAGAGATTAAAATATAATTCCATATATTTATGGGCTACCTTTGATAAAATAGCAAAACACTTTCCACACCAATGAACACCTAACACCATGAAGCCGGTTCCTTCCTGAGAAGCCACAAGTCCTCAGCTAGCCCCCCCCCCCAAATGCCCCACATGTTGCGGAACGTAGGTGCTCATTACGTGTTCACACGAACCAGCCACTTTGTCTTATTCTGAGTCTTCAACTTCACATTATACGTATTTTAAATAAATTTCAACATTTCTTCTCAGGTAATCTGTACCATCCAGCAAAATATTGTATTTATCATTTTCTACCAGCTTAGTACATGTCTCACTCACCTCATGGTCCTGAACTTGCTCCACTTTTGTTGAAAATTATAAATTATCAACCTTCTCTTTGTGTAATTTTTTCATTTCAACCAGAAACCATTTACAGGGGCGATTCTTCCCTCAGATTATCAAATATCATGTTATACACTTGCTCGACTTCTAGTCAAGGAAGAAACTTTTTCCAGCAAGAACTCGTGCCACAACCGCACGAGTTTCCATGGCAGCTGTGAATAACTTGTTTCCTAACCATGTTATCTCCAGATATGCGGACATCTTATGGTCAACCAGGTCACCTGATTTTTCCACATGTGATTTTTTCTCTGAAGGTATCTAAAATCCCAAGTTTTCAAAGCTCCAGCACCCCACACAGTTCAGGAGTTGAAATATCAAATTCGGGAAGAATTTTAACAAATTCCGGTAGAGATGCTGCAAAGAGTAATGAGCGACTTTAGGAAGAGACTTAGCGAGTGCCTACAGCGGAATGGTGTTCATTTGTCGGATGTTATTTTTGGGAAAGATACTTCCGTTTTCAGTGAGTTAATTGAGAAAACCAAATTCTTTTATGTTTACACTGTATTCATATATGTTAGAACGAAGTAAATGAAACAGTTTAATGTTCATAAAATTCTTAAAATCGCCCGATTCATTGACGCAACTTGTATAACATGATGAGTCGATAGCAACAATTCTACAGCCCTCATCCGTGTGTGTTCCATGTACAATTATGTGTTCAGTTAATCTTGAAAATATGAGTAGTGGGTCCAGCTGAAGATGAACACATTCACGAGAGTTCTGTGTTATAAGATATAAAGCCATATAGTCCATTGAAAATTAACCGACATTTCAAGGCAATATGCTGCTTCCTTTTCAGGGTCGAAAATGAAGCAAGCAAGAAACGAGCAAGAAGCAGGAAGCAAGCTTATTTCTTCGTGGATTTTTGTTTGGCCAGTTCTTCGAACCTTAAGATTGAAGTATATATTCGTCCGAAACAAAGATTGATTTTTAACGGACTAACGGCCTTATATCCCACAAGCTACGGTTGTGAGATCCTCAAATCCTAAATACCGTACATTAAATTTTATGGGTAACTGAAATAATACATTGCAAGCTATAATTTTAAGGTATTACAAATAATTTCTAACAATTGAAATCAAAATTCTGAAACAAATATTCCGAATTTCAAAAGACTGCATAAATATGGTAACTACATGATTACTACAGTTCTCCTGCTACCGCTGTGTTACAGTAACTTTCAGATGTGAGGTGGTCGACACCTTTCTTGAAGACTTCCTTTACTAATTATATTTGTCAGAAAGACTAGAGTTTCATCATTTCTGTTCCTGTGGCCACGAACCTTAGACATGACAGCTCTTCAAATAAAATTACATATGGACGGCTAAGTACTTCTTGTTAATTCGTCCTCTGGAGCATCCAACTCTGTCTAGGTGAGGTGTGAGCAATTGTATATGCTACGAAATCGAATGGAATTCTTTCGGAGTGACCCTGGCAGAGGCCCTTAGGATGAGTACTTCAAATCGGTTAAATACACCAGGTATTCGTGTTTTTGAACACACACTACGTAGGTAGATCCACAGCAAGAAATCACATATAGTTTAATGTCAGGCCATATTATGCATCTGCAGGTAGTCGACTGCGCCTCATCTTTGAGGCCCCAGCTCAGTTCCAGAATACTTCACATGAAATTTATATCAGACATTTTTTCTAATAGTTTTTTTTCGTTTTCCTTGCTAATTATCATTCGGCTAGTTTTCCACGCGTATCTGTCACCTGAGGCTGGAAGAAGAGGCCCATTTGAGACCGCAGTACCAAGAGACTCAAGCCTCATTCCACTTCTAAAATAAATGTAGAAGTATTAACACTAATTGTAATTTATCTTTACTCGATATCTTGAAATTTGGTATGATTGGTAATGTTATAAACTGAACGTAATGCAGAGTGAGCCCCAGCCGACTTCCTGGTACCAAGGTCTGTGTGCAGCGTACTAAAGCAGTAAATACACCTACTTAAATATGTACAAGTAACAGTAAAAGTATTTTTCAGTGAAAAGTTTCGCTTTTTCGATTATGGTATATTCTATATTTATTATATTACAAATAAAATAGAAAGTTTGTGCCATAATTACTGAAACAATGTTGTGGATGGGACTGAATTTCTCCTTGGACAGAATCCCACCAGCGGACCATGAGGAAGGGTTTTTTTTTTCCCTTGGCACTACAGCCCCATTGGGCCTAGGCCTACCTCCATGAACTTCTCCGTTCACTTCGGTTTTTCTAGATCTTACACATTCGGTAGGACTCCTTGGGCGGGTGCTCATCTCGTCTCAAACGCACGCACATAAACTAAACATCCATGCCCTGAGTGGGATTCGAACCCACGATCCCGGTTTCCAAGCGAGCGAAGACAGTACATGCCTTAGACCGCTCGGCTGCCGTGACCGGCCTGGGGAAGGGTTGACTGTATTATAAACCGTATTGAATTTTCAATTTCTTAATAATCTATAATCTTCTTGTAATTTTAAGACGATCCTTCCACAGCGTTAGCTATAAGTTAAGGAGTGAATAAAGTTCACAAATGCTTGATACTCTTCGGGTTTAAATGCTTTCTCACTTTGAACGACTCCATTTGAAGGCGCTAGAGTGAGAGATGCTATTATTCCACCAGAGGTGTATCCAATAGTGAGGTAGGCACTGAAAGTAAGGGGACTTCTGCATCTTATTGTACTACTGTTCTTCTTGTCCTCAGGGCTTAGGAGACTGAATGCTTG